TCCACAGCTTCGCGTCTGGCTTCTCGGCCAAAACAAAGTGCGGCCGTAGTTCCAAAATGTCCCAGTCTGAGAGAGAAGCACACCTACGTGTGGCTGTCTACTTGGGCTCGTTGTGTTCGAATGTGCTCCAAAATATTCGCTATGAGGACGGCGACGGCCCGCCCTAACGCCGCGCTATTCTGACGCTAGGCACCACCAGAGACGGTAGTGGTAACTAGCGTCTTCCCCCGAACACAACGCACCCTCATTTGGACCATACGTTCATTTTCAGGGTGCGTTATGCTCGGGGGAAGCACCCTCATTTTGACCGTATCGGGCCGGATACATGGCTTGCATACGTTCATTTTCAGGGCGCGCTATGTTCGGGGGAAGACGGTAGCATTAGGGGGACGGCAGGGAAGCGGTCGGGGCCCACAACTCGTCTTTTTGAGTAGTTCCAAGGAAAGAGACGAAGGGGCTACTCCTCCCAGGGTGGTATGTCGGGGCACTTTACCTGACACCTTCTGCTGAAGATTCGCCCGTGCCCTCAGCCGTATTCCAAGGCCGCTATAACCGAAGTTAGCACAATCGTGTCGCATGAAGTCCTCCTCGAGGATGGCGCACTCCTTGACCACCGATCTTCCACGGCTGGCAGCTGGCTTGTCGCGAAAGGGTAAGAAATCTCAGAAGTATGCGCCAGATGCAAATGGGCCTGGGAGACCTCCAATCACCTGTGGCTATACTGTCCTCTATCTCTCTAACTGTGGGACTGGTGGAAGGCACACTGGCCGAAGTTTACTAATGCAGACTGTAACTGGTCTCAAGAGTGGATACTGTTTGTGCACTCCCCGCCCGGGACAGACCTGACAACTGGATGGGGATACGTCGCCTTGGTTTGTAGAGGAGTCTTAAGGGAGGTCATATGGGAAGGGAGGAATAAGGCTTGCTTCAAAGGAGAGGAAGTGACCTGTGTAGAATTGATCTCCACTACCAAAAGCCTAATGAGGCTCGCAATTAGAGCTGATTGGCAACATTCCCAAGTCCCACCCAAGGAAAGGGCGGGCCTGGTTTTGTAACACTTGGGCCAGGGTCCGACTGTGTGGTAGGTCTGTGAATTAGTCACAGGTGTAGTAAGTGAGGGAAGGCCAGAAGGGTAGGTAAGGGTAGTAGTTGGAACACAGTGTTTGGCAGGGAGGGTTACTACATTTTCGGAAGTTCTGATGGGTATTTGAATGTCGGTGGAGTAAGTTAAACCGGCTGATGCTACCGGGATAACACTGGGTTGAATTGTGAGGATTCCTGGCCTCGATTATTGAATTGTTTGAAATACATGAGAAATTGAGAATCTGATTATCAGACTTGTCTCAATCTTGCTTCAGCGTGCATACACATAGATGACGATCAAACTGGCGACTTGCGCCCACACAAAGCTCAGATAACGAAGCCATAGAGGCCTTGCACAT